CGAGCTGTGAGGTAGAGAGGTGCCATAGCATGGTGAAAAGAGCATTTGATTTGGGGTCGATGGACCTGAGTGGGAGTGTCGGCTCGGACACATCCCAGCTGGGTGACTCTGGACAAATCACTTCACTGCTCTGCGCAGGCTTCCTTGTCCTTCAGGTGTCATTTTCGTTACCTGCTTTCTGGGGCTGTTAGACGGTGCTTTATAGACTTCCAAAGTCACTGTGCACTCATGGTTAGTGAGGGCAGCTGGGGCTGTCCTCAGCCTTGTCCTCCAGTCTGGTTGTCACGTCTTTTTTTTCCACGTTCCTCCCCTTCATATTGTCTCTCTCTCAGTCGTTCCATCTCCTCCCTTTGCGCCCAGCTGTCCGCCTTGCCTAGAACGTTATCCCACATCATCTCTCCTCACAGCAAACCCTGAGCTTCCTCCAAGGCTCAGCTCAGAGGCCATCCCTTACCCTGGGCCTTTCCTGGCCAACGCTGTTGGACTGTTGGCTCGGTTTTGTTACAAATTACTGTGCGTAAGAATCATACAAGACACACATCCAGTACACGATGCTGGCGGAGTGACTAGAGAACCAGCCGTGGAGTCTGGAAAACCTGGGTCGCAGCCCTCCCCTCTGACATGTCCTGGCTGTGTGACCCTGGACAAGTCACCTTCTGACTTCTCAGAGCTCCCAGACATCCCTCTGAAACTGATTTTGCCTGGCAGACTTTATCTAATTTGCATTGGTAGAAGGAGTTTCTGCACTGAGAATTCCCTACACCAATGAAATCACAGGTATAGCCCCCCCCCACCCCAACAATACAGTCATATACAGCAGGTATAGCACTAAAGCAGTTAATTCAGACTAAGGACAAATACTGAAGTTGAAGCTTAAATACCATGGCCACATAATGAGAAGATGAGACTCAGTGGAGAAGACCCTGATGTTGGGAAAGATTGAAGGCAAAAGGAAAAGGGGACGGCAGAGGATGAGATGGCTAGATAGTGTCATGGAAGCAGTGAACATGAACTTGGACAGACTTCGGGAGATAGTGGAGGTTAGACAGGCCTGGCGTGCTGTGGTCCAGGGGGTCATGGAGAGTCAGATGTGACTGAACAACAGCAACCTGGAATTAGCAGGGTATACTGTGTTCATGCACAGTAAAATCACATACAATTTTTTGCATACATATTTTTTGGTTTCGTGTGTCCTGTGTGCAGGGGTATGTGTGTATGTATCATGGACTGCCTTTAGACATCTGGGGAAGCCTGGGGTCCCCTTCTCAGAATCATATTTTTAAATAATTGAAGGAAATGCTAAATTTCAACTCCAGGTTAATAAAAATGACGATGTAATTTTTTTCCCATCTAAATTCATGGACCCTCTGAAATCTAATAAACTAATCCATGCACCCCAGGTTCAGAACTCCTGTCCTAGGAGAACGTATTCTCCTTGAGGGCAAGGGCCATGTCCCCTTTGTATTTGAGTCCTCAGTGCCTAGCATAAGGCCTGACCTATAGTATGGCCTTTATTGAATTGAATTACCCATATTTTTCAGATGAGGAAACAGAAGCTGAGCAAAGTTAAGTGATTTACCCGGGGTCATACAACTAGTTAGCCTCAGAAGGGCTTAAGCCAGGAGCAGTTCCCTGTATACAGCAGATGGCCAATAAATGTTGTTTGGCACCCATAAGAATGCCTGCCCCACCCCACCCCTAGCCACAGGGTATATATGAATTTACATGGGTCCTTGCACAATGTCAGGTGTGACAGAGTCCAGGGTGGAGGCCCTGTCTGATTGTGGGACCTACTGTGAGCCACCTTTAGTGTGAAAAAGAATTCCAAGATGGAGTTGAATGCTGACTAACTACTGGTCCGTCGATCCTGGAGGAGAGGTTTTGGAAGACCTATCCTCCAAGCAGTAGAGAGTGGGGGCCTCCGGGTGCAGAAGGCCACCCATGCGGGTAGCAAGGGGTCGGGTTGGCTGAGCTTATCATCTCTCTATTACCGTAGGGCTCAGTTGGGCAGGAGAGAAGAGCAGAGCTGTAAATGACCATGAATGATGTAAAAAAAAAAACCCAAGGCTTCCATAGAGCTCTGTTTGTGAAAATCCCCATTAGAAACTGCAAGGACACTATCGGAGACGTTTAACTCTGCAAGCCCAGGAGACCATGATGTGAAACAACACAGATCATTGGCATTCGTACCATCGGGTACAATGTATTACTCCAAGAAAAAAACCTCCCAACAAGGCGAGTGCTTTTTGGTTCACTGGAAAACACGCTGGACTGGAAGCCAGAAGGCCAGTTTGGGAATCCTGCTCTGCTAGTCGTTAGCTGTGTGACAGGGCCAAAGCTCTTGGGGCCTCACTTCTTCATCTGTAAAATGGGGAGGAGGGGGAAGGGAACTAGCTAGATGGGCTCTGAGGCAAGGCTCCTTCATCTTTGTTACATCCTGGCCTCCTTGGGCAGTCTGCTGAAGACTACAAAGCCCTACGTTAAAATAAAATACAGGGGA